GCAAGATTAATCTTTAATGAGCCGAAAAGAATGCACGTCACACCTCTGTTCATCAATTTGCACTGGCTACCAGTAGCTGCTCGCATAAAATTCAAGGCATTAATGTTTGCCTACAAAACCACCACTGGCTCTGCACCTATTTACCTAAATTCATTACTTCAGAGTTATGTGCCCTCTAGAAGCTTGCGTTCTGCAAGTGAATGACGCATTATTGTGCCATCACAAAAATCACTTTCACTGACTTTTATATTAACTGTTCCCTCCTGGTGGAATGACCTGCCCAACTCAAGTCCTTAGCCATCTTCAAGAAACGACTAAAAACATCTGTTCCACCTTTATTTGACCCTCTAACTCTAGCACTCTCTATTCTATTTTAATTCAAATTTTTTATTTAAAAAAAACACTAGCTTTATATTTTTTCTATTCTATCTACTTGTTTTTCTTTGTGTGTGTGTGTGTGTGTATATGTGTGTGTATAATATATATATATATCTTGCTACACTGCATTAGGCTAACCGAGACCTGCCGTAGCTACAGGTCAAAACACAACTGCCTTTGTCTTACTCTCATTAAAATTTAAACCAAAAGTTTAAGGGCATCCTAGCTTTCATATCCTATAGACAAGCGGTTAAAGAGCTGAGATAATTGTTGTTGCTTTGCTTAAAAGACATAAATTTGGGTGTAGTCAGCATAAAAATTAAACAATACTCTGTATTTGTTAAAAATCAATATAGAAGAGAATTAAATGAGGGCAATAAAACAGCTTTGAGGGACTCCATATGTCAAAACTAATTTAGTGGGGGGAAAAAACCCACCGACACAGACTCTAATTCAGTCGAATCAACGGAGGGGAGAGTCCCCTGAATCAACAGAAAACAATATAAAGTTAATACACATATAAGAGCAGACTCTAGTTGGTACTGCGGTTCTTCCTAAACCCAGAGATCCCAAACACACTATTGGATGCAAAACAAACAAATATTCCAGACAGAGACTGCTTTCTCTAAAACTTTGGGCATAAAGGATAAATTAGAAATTGCCCTATAATTACATAAGACTTTTCCACCATGGGTCTAACAGTTTTGGGTTTTAATTGCTGTCAGAAAACCAGGGACGACTCATCACCTGTGCAATGGCATCTCAACAGTGAAGGATGGTGGTGTTACTGTGGGGGTGTTTATTTTAGCAGTAGTCACAGGGAGACTGGTCATGAGAGAAGTAAATCCGAACAAATGAAAATACAGAAATTCTCAATGAAAACCTGGATCAGAGCACTCAGGACCTCAGATTGCACTGGAAGGTTCACTTTCCAACAGGACAATGATCCTAAGCAAGTCAATACTATGCAAGAGTGTCTTAGGGATGCCTCTGTGAATATTGAGTGTCCCAGTCAGAGCCCAGATTTGAACCCAATCAAACATCTCTGGAGAGACCTGAAAATGTCTGTCCACCGGTGGTACCCATCCAACCTGAGAGAGCTTGAAAGGATATGCAGTGAAAAATGGCAGAAAATCCCCAGATGCTCAAAGCTTGTTGACTCATATCCAAAAAGACTTGAGGCTCTAATCACTGCCAGTTATGGGTTATGGGTCAGAACACTTATACAGTGTAGTTACTTTAGCCTGGTTTTAGAGGGGTTTTAACCACTTTTTTTTAGCTGGTCAATCTGGGAGTCTGGGACCTCATCTGTTGATTGCAGATTAGGGGTAATTCAGTGTCTGATCTTTCTTAGGCACTACACTCTTTTTTAAAACAGATGAAGGATCAAACTACTGAAAAATGCAGTTAACTTAATAGTGTTGCTACTTTTAGATACCAGCATTGTCTTTTTGTCTTTATGTTGTAGCCTGACGAAAGGAAACTAAAGTAGAAAATATTAGTCTCTATGGTGATAAAGGGCATTTAATATCTTCTGTTAATCTGGACCAATCAAGAGGGCTGGGAGCCTAAAAATGTTTTTAGACTCCAGTGCTCATGCCCTCAAAAAAGAGGCATATTCATTCACCACCACTGCCTCCAGATTAGCACCGCCAAAGTCTCATCTGCAAACCGTGGGTGTCTGTAAACGGAGAAGGAAGTTGATGTATCCCAGGGCATTCATGACTCAAGCCAAATCACACAGACCGATGCACACAGACAACAGCACGACTGCATGCCACAGCATCAGGTCACTCTAAGAATAGCTCTACTCCGAAAAAGGAAGTGTGTATCTATACTAACACGTTTCACAATCTTTTTTATGCGATTGCCATGATGCATTAGGATGGCTGCAAACTGCTGACTGCCTCCACAAGTCAATCACCGCTCTCTCACTGATCTCTCCTATTATTTTTTGTCATAGTCTCTTTCTCACTCCTTCTTTCTGCTGTACATGATCTTACTCCACCCTGCAATGTTTTGGCTAAATCTTAAACTACACGCTGGTAAATGGGATTACACTTGCTGTCGTGAGATATGGCTCTGTATCACCAAAGCTGTGATTCAGCCGTAGACACAAGGACCCAGGCCAATGCATTGAACTCTGTGAAGTGAAGCATTAGATATACCCCAAATGTATTATATCTCATGTTTAACCACTACAGATTCACCAGAGCCCGTGGCAAATGTCAGAAGGACTTGCCAAGATAAGGCTGTTCTTGATGGAGTACATGAGCGCCAGCTGCCCGGTGATCGCCCAGTCCTAGCCCAGATATATCAAGCCACTAGATTTGAAAGCTACTTGATCAGGCGACCAGGTACACATAGCATAGTGTATTATAAAAGACCCGCTTGCAACACTTATTGGCCAAAAAAAAAAACACAGTTGCTTCAATGACAAATAGTATCAAACCCAATTAAACTTGTTTTTGCAATTTTTTGAAATTTAAGGAAAAAAAGCATGCCAGTATTCAAGATGTAAACCTGAAACTGTACCTGACACAGTCCTGACAACCTCTGTGGTATTTCTCAGGCCAACAAAGGAGAACTGGTAAAGACGCCAGGAGCGGATGTCTCCAACCTCCACTGAGCTGCGTTTCCACTTGTATACAATCTCCTCCTTGGGGTAGCCATCTGCAGAAACAAACAATTGGAATTGGTCCAAAAACTTGGTCCAAAACAAACAACAACAGAATTGTCTATTGACGAGCAGGCTGGGGCGCTGCGGCCGGCGGACAGGTGGAGGCAGCAGCTGCCCGCCGGGGCAGAATGTCGGATCGCCTCAGTCTGCTCCTGTGCAGCCGAGAACTGCTGGGCCATATTCTCGACTGTGTCGCCGAAAAGGCCGGAATGGGACACAGGGACCTTGAGGAACCGAACTTTGTCAGTGTCCCTCATGTCGACCAGACACAATCAGAGGTGACATTCCTGGACCACAAGTGTGGACATCGCATGACCCAGAGAACTCGCGGGGGTAATTCAGTGTCTGATCTTTCTTAGGCACTACACTCTTTTTTAAAACAGATGAAGGATCAAACTACTGAAAAATGCAGTTAACTTAATAGTGTTGCTACTTTTAGATACCAGCATTGTCTTTTTGTCTTTATGTTGTAGCCTGACGAAAGGAAACTAAAGTAGAAAATATTAGTCTCTATGGTGATAAAGGGCATTTAATATCTTCTGTTAATCTGGACCAATCAAGAGGGCTGGGAGCCTAAAAATGTTTTTAGACTCCAGTGCTCATGCCCTCAAAAAAGAGGCATATTCATTCACCACCACTGCCTCCAGATTAGCACCGCCAAAGTCTCATCTGCAAACCGTGGGTGTCTGTAAACGGAGAAGGAAGTTGATGTATCCCAGGGCATTCATGACTCAAGCCAAATCACACAGACCGATGCACACAGACAACAGCACGACTGCATGCCACAGCATCAGGTCACTCTAAGAATAGCTCTACTCCGAAAAAGGAAGTGTGTATCTATACTAACACGTTTCACAATCTTTTTTATGCGATTGCCATGATGCATTAGGATGGCTGCAAACTGCTGACTGCCTCCACAAGTCAATCACCGCTCTCTCACTGATCTCTCCTATTATTTTTTGTCATAGTCTCTTTCTCACTCCTTCTTTCTGCTGTACATGATCTTACTCCACCCTGCAATGTTTTGGCTAAATCTTAAACTACACGCTGGTAAATGGGATTACACTTGCTGTCGTGAGATATGGCTCTGTATCACCAAAGCTGTGATTCAGCCGTAGACACAAGGACCCAGGCCAATGCATTGAACTCTGTGAAGTGAAGCATTAGATATACCCCAAATGTATTATATCTCATGTTTAACCACTACAGATTCACCAGAGCCCGTGGCAAATGTCAGAAGGACTTGCCAAGATAAGGCTGTTCTTGATGGAGTACATGAGCGCCAGCTGCCCGGTGATCGCCCAGTCCTAGCCCAGATATATCAAGCCACTAGATTTGAAAGCTACTTGATCAGGCGACCAGGTACACATAGCATAGTGTATTATAAAAGACCCGCTTGCAACACTTATTGGCCAAAAAAAAACACAGTTGCTTCAATGACAAATAGTATCAAACCCAATTAAACTTGTTTTTGCAATTTTTTGAAATTTAAGGAAAAAAAGCATGCCAGTATTCAAGATGTAAACCTGAAACTGTACCTGACACAGTCCTGACAACCTCTGTGGTATTTCTCAGGCCAACAAAGGAGAACTGGTAAAGACGCCAGGAGCGGATGTCTCCAACCTCCACTGAGCTGCGTTTCCACTTGTATACAATCTCCTCCTTGGGGTAGCCATCTGCAGAAACAAACAATTGGAATTGGTCCAAAAACAACAACAACAGAATTGTCTATTGACGAGCAGGCTGGGGCGCTGCGGCCGGCGGACAGGTGGAGGCAGCAGCTGCCCGCCGGGGCAGAATGTCGGATCGCCTCAGTCTGCTCCTGTGCAGCCGAGAACTGCTGGGCCATATTCTCGACTGTGTCGCCGAAAAGGCCGGAATGGGACACAGGGACCTTGAGGAACCGAACTTTGTCAGTGTCCCTCATGTCGACCAGACACAATCAGAGGTGACATTCCTGGACCACAAGTGTGGACATCGCATGACCCAGAGAACTCGCGGTGATCTTCGTCGCTCGGAGCGTGAGATCAGTTGCGGTTTGGAGCTCTTTTAGAACTTCCGGACGTGACCACCCTCGTGCAGGTCCCTCAGTGCTTTAGCCTGAAGAACCTGCAGTAACGCCGTAGCGTGTAAGGCGGAGGCAGCTTCTCCGCAGGCCGTATAAGCATTGCCGGACAGACCAGACGAGTACCTACAGACCCGGGAAGGGAGGCACGGTTCGCCCTGCCCGGGTGGAGGCGGTATTAGGACACAACTGCATCGCAACCAACCGCTCCACCGGGGGGGACCCCCGTATACACCCTAGCTGCACCACCGTCAAGAGTGGTGAGGGAGGAGGAGTTAACAGGTTGGTTTCCGGCAGAAGAAGGTGCCATCCACAACCTGGTAAGCCCTTTATGCACCTCCAGGAAGAATGGCACTGGGGCGGGGCGCTGAGAACTCATTATCCCAGAGGCACTAGTGCTCCGTACCACTTCCGTCAAAAGTGTAGCGAAGGCTAGGTGTGTGAATACATCTTTATCTATATAAATATATATACGTATATACAGTGTTGGGAAGGTTACTTTGGAAATGTAATAGGTTACAGATTACAAGTTACCCTACTTAAAATGTAATAGTAGTGTAAATTCTTCAATTACTTTATTAAAGTAATGTAACTGATTACTTTTGATTACTTTTCTAAATTTCTAATGAATGTTTATTTGCAACAGTTATCATTTTCAAACATTTACACCATGCAGTGTACACTGCACTGTTAGACTTTCAAAATCCTTCATCACTTGAATTAAGATGATCAAATTTGAACACATCCACCACAAAATCAGACTTTAGTACCACCTTTTATTTTGAGCAAGATTAATCTTTAATGAGCCGAAAAGAATGCACGTCACACCTCTGTTCATCAATTTGCACTGGCTACCAGTAGCTGCTCGCATAAAATTCAAGGCATTAATGTTTGCCTACAAAACCACCACTGGCTCTGCACCTATTTACCTAAATTCATTACTTCAGAGTTATGTGCCCTCTAGAAGCTTGCGTTCTGCAAGTGAATGACGCATTATTGTGCCATCACAAAAATCACTTTCACTGACTTTTATATTAACTGTTCCCTCCTGGTGGAATGACCTGCCCAACTCAAGTCCTTAGCCATCTTCAAGAAACGACTAAAAACATCTGTTCCACCTTTATTTGACCCTCTAACTCTAGCACTCTCTATTCTATTTTAATTCAAATTTTTTATTTAAAAAAAACACTAGCTTTATATTTTTTCTATTCTATCTACTTGTTTTTCTTTGTGTGTGTGTGTGTGTGTATATGTGTGTGTATAATATATATATATATCTTGCTACACTGCATTAGGCTAACCGAGACCTGCCGTAGCTACAGGTCAAAACACAACTGCCTTTGTCTTACTCTCATTAAAATTTAAACCAAAAGTTTAAGGGCATCCTAGCTTTCATATCCTATAGACAAGCGGTTAAAGAGCTGAGATAATTGTTGTTGCTTTGCTTAAAAGACATAAATTTGGGTGTAGTCAGCATAAAAATTAAACAATACTCTGTATTTGTTAAAAATCAATATAGAAGAGAATTAAATGAGGGCAATAAAACAGCTTTGAGGGACTCCATATGTCAAAACTAATTTAGTGGGGGGAAAAAACCCACCGACACAGACTCTAATTCAGTCGAATCAACGGAGGGGAGAGTCCCCTGAATCAACAGAAAACAATATAAAGTTAATACACATATAAGAGCAGACTCTAGTTGGTACTGCGGTTCTTCCTAAACCCAGAGATCCCAAACACACTATTGGATGCAAAACAAACAAATATTCCAGACAGAGACTGCTTTCTCTAAAACTTTGGGCATAAAGGATAAATTAGAAATTGCCCTATAATTACATAAGACTTTTCCACCATGGGTCTAACAGTTTTGGGTTTTAATTGCTGTCAGAAAACCAGGGACGACTCATCACCTGTGCAATGGCATCTCAACAGTGAAGGATGGTGGTGTTACTGTGGGGGTGTTTATTTTAGCAGTAGTCACAGGGAGACTGGTCATGAGAGAAGTAAATCCGAACAAATGAAAATACAGAAATTCTCAATGAAAACCTGGATCAGAGCACTCAGGACCTCAGATTGCACTGGAAGGTTCACTTTCCAACAGGACAATGATCCTAAGCAAGTCAATACTATGCAAGAGTGTCTTAGGGATGCCTCTGTGAATATTGAGTGTCCCAGTCAGAGCCCAGATTTGAACCCAATCAAACATCTCTGGAGAGACCTGAAAATGTCTGTCCACCGGTGGTACCCATCCAACCTGAGAGAGCTTGAAAGGATATGCAGTGAAAAATGGCAGAAAATCCCCAGATGCTCAAAGCTTGTTGACTCATATCCAAAAAGACTTGAGGCTCTAATCACTGCCAGTTATGGGTTATGGGTCAGAACACTTATACAGTGTAGTTACTTTAGCCTGGTTTTAGAGGGGTTTTAACCACTTTTTTTTAGCTGGTCAATCTGGGAGTCTGGGACCTCATCTGTTGATTGCAGATTAGGGGTAATTCAGTGTCTGATCTTTCTTAGGCACTACACTCTTTTTTAAAACAGATGAAGGATCAAACTACTGAAAAATGCAGTTAACTTAATAGTGTTGCTACTTTTAGATACCAGCATTGTCTTTTTGTCTTTATGTTGTAGCCTGACGAAAGGAAACTAAAGTAGAAAATATTAGTCTCTATGGTGATAAAGGGCATTTAATATCTTCTGTTAATCTGGACCAATCAAGAGGGCTGGGAGCCTAAAAATGTTTTTAGACTCCAGTGCTCATGCCCTCAAAAAAGAGGCATATTCATTCACCACCACTGCCTCCAGATTAGCACCGCCAAAGTCTCATCTGCAAACCGTGGGTGTCTGTAAACGGAGAAGGAAGTTGATGTATCCCAGGGCATTCATGACTCAAGCCAAATCACACAGACCGATGCACACAGACAACAGCACGACTGCATGCCACAGCATCAGGTCACTCTAAGAATAGCTCTACTCCGAAAAAGGAAGTGTGTATCTATACTAACACGTTTCACAATCTTTTTTATGCGATTGCCATGATGCATTAGGATGGCTGCAAACTGCTGACTGCCTCCACAAGTCAATCACCGCTCTCTCACTGATCTCTCCTATTATTTTTTGTCATAGTCTCTTTCTCACTCCTTCTTTCTGCTGTACATGATCTTACTCCACCCTGCAATGTTTTGGCTAAATCTTAAACTACACGCTGGTAAATGGGATTACACTTGCTGTCGTGAGATATGGCTCTGTATCACCAAAGCTGTGATTCAGCCGTAGACACAAGGACCCAGGCCAATGCATTGAACTCTGTGAAGTGAAGCATTAGATATACCCCAAATGTATTATATCTCATGTTTAACCACTACAGATTCACCAGAGCCCGTGGCAAATGTCAGAAGGACTTGCCAAGATAAGGCTGTTCTTGATGGAGTACATGAGCGCCAGCTGCCCGGTGATCGCCCAGTCCTAGCCCAGATATATCAAGCCACTAGATTTGAAAGCTACTTGATCAGGCGACCAGGTACACATAGCATAGTGTATTATAAAAGACCCGCTTGCAACACTTATTGGCCAAAAAAAAACACAGTTGCTTCAATGACAAATAGTATCAAACCCAATTAAACTTGTTTTTGCAATTTTTTGAAATTTAAGGAAAAAAAGCATGCCAGTATTCAAGATGTAAACCTGAAACTGTACCTGACACAGTCCTGACAACCTCTGTGGTATTTCTCAGGCCAACAAAGGAGAACTGGTAAAGACGCCAGGAGCGGATGTCTCCAACCTCCACTGAGCTGCGTTTCCACTTGTATACAATCTCCTCCTTGGGGTAGCCATCTGCAGAAACAAACAATTGGAATTGGTCCAAAAACAACAACAACAGAATTGTCTATTGACGAGCAGGCTGGGGCGCTGCGGCCGGCGGACAGGTGGAGGCAGCAGCTGCCCGCAGGGGCAGAATGTCGGATCGCCTCAGTCTGCTCCTGTGCAGCCGAGAACTGCTGGGCCATATTCTCGACTGTGTCGCCGAAAAGGCCGGAATGGGACACAGGGACCTTGAGGAACCGAACTTTGTCAGTGTCCCTCATGTCGACCAGACACAATCAGAGGTGACATTCCTGGACCACAAGTGTGGACATCGCATGACCCAGAGAACTCGCGGTGATCTTCGTCGCTCGGAGCGTGAGATCAGTTGCGGTTTGGAGCTCTTTTAGAACTTCCGGACGTGACCACCCTCGTGCAGGTCCCTCAGTGCTTTAGCCTGAAGAACCTGCAGTAACGCCGTAGCGTGTAAGGCGGAGGCAGCTTCTCCGCAGGCCGTATAAGCATTGCCGGACAGACCAGACGAGTACCTACAGACCCGGGAAGGGAGGCACGGTTCGCCCTGCCCGGGTGGAGGCGGTATTAGGACACAACTGCATCGCAACCAACCGCTCCACCGGGGGGGACCCCCGTATACACCCTAGCTGCACCACCGTCAAGAGTGGTGAGGGAGGAGGAGTTAACAGGTTGGTTTCCGGCAGAAGAAGGTGCCATCCACAACCTGGTAAGCCCTTTATGCACCTCCAGGAAGAATGGCACTGGGGCGGGGCGCTGAGAACTCATTATCCCAGAGGCACTAGTGCTCCGTACTACTTCCGTCAAAAGTGTAGCGAAGGCTAGGTGTGTGAATACATCTTTATCTATATAAATATATATACGTATATACAGTGTTGGGAAGGTTACTTTGGAAATGTAATAGGTTACAGATTACAAGTTACCCTACTTAAAATGTAATAGTAGTGTAAATTCTTCAATTACTTTATTAAAGTAATGTAACTGATTACTTTTGATTACTTTTCTAAATTTCTAATGAATGTTTATTTGCAACAGTTATCATTTTCAAACATTTACACCATGCAGTGTACACTGCACTGTTAGACTTTCAAAATCCTTCATCACTTGAATTAAGATGATCAAATTTGAACACATCCACCACAAAATCAGACTTTAGTACCACCTTTTATTTTGAGATTGATCTGAAGTTCAATGCAGATTTAAAATCATAAGAAATATTTACTGATACTGTTTTTGAAACCAAATCTTTGCATAACTACAGGAAACACTGCATGTAACAATGGTTTGGAAAAAAATTGTTAATTAAAAAATTATAATAAATAAAAGCATATACATCAACTCAAATACGGTTATCTATTAAGCATGTGTCCTATTCTGTGTACTAAACTCCTGAAACATTGGTGTCTCTTTGTATATGACATGACTCAAAATAAGTAAAATGCTCATGAAGTGACTCTAGAGCAGTTCTAGAGATTATGTTTATGTGTTCATGTACTCATATATTGAGGCGGCAGAGGTTGAAAACACTGCGAGCTTCAGTAGGTCTATGTGTAGTAAATGAAACTGCATGTCTGTGCCATTAATTTCGGACTGGGAAAAAAAATTCAGGCCGGGAAATCTCACACTCCTACACCCACAACAAATTCTGAAACATGGACAACCCTATTTTTTGTATGGACCTCACACACTGAAAAAAATGTTTCATCATCCAATTAAAAAAATGTAGGGTAATGACTCACATCTACATTTTTTTACTTGAGCCAATGAAAAATAAATAACTTGCCCTTTTTTTCAGTTTCTTCTGAAACTACAGATGATGCTATCCCATTAGACTGTCCATTCCGCATCTGCTGCTTCATTATTACCATAATAAACCATTTCCCCTACATCCTCTCCAAAGTCAAAGGACAGGAAAAATTCCATGGTTTCTTCCTGGCACAGCTTGCTCGTGTGAGCATGTAAAAACATGTCTCTCCACATTGGGCCAAATTGTCACTTTCCTCATTATCTGTCCTTCATTTTTCAAGACGAAAATAGAAGTGAAATGTCTTCAGTAGCATCCTAAAAATGGTTTCCATGCTCTCAGCTGCATCTGAGCGTGGAAGCAGACACTAGGTGTAGAAAACTGGAGAGAAAAAGCAGTAAAGAATGGAAGAGATATGGATGGATTTGCATGTTGAGCATATGAGCAGACTTACAGCTTGAGAACTCCAGGGGACATGAATGTTCATCCATCGGAAAGTTATTCAGTTTAAGCTGGCACTCTGCATCAATGGTCAACCTACAGACAGAAATTTCAAATTTCTTTTTATCAGCCATTTCATTAGCACACCCCACATTTATAATTTCCAGCGCTAGAATATGCATAGAATATACATAGTACTAGAATATACATAGCACAATAAAAAAAATGACTGACAATTTAAAAGCTATTAAGGCGGGGCAGGCGTGCATCATATTTGTTCAAATTGGATGAATTCTTCCTGAAAGCAAGTAATCAGACTAGAGTTGCATTAAGAATCAATTAAACAAGTCAGAATGAACATCAAACCGTGATCAGCTGTTAAGTGTTTCATCAATGGTACCCAGCAAAAGCTACCCAGATAGCAAGGCGAATAAACAGCCAATAAACAGTGAATAGTGTTCCCTAATCTAAAGTGTTATCATTAAATCATATATTTTTCTACATACTTAAAGTGCATCTTATTTTAGTAAGATTTATTCGGAATGTATTTATATCTTTGTGTTGAAAAATTTGAAAAAGTGATTTATATTGTGCTCAATATGCTCACAGTGCTCGATATGAGGGATAATGCATGCTCCTTGTTGAAAAAAAATCCCCTCTTTAAAACCACTATCTTATTTCGATTCATAGCATTGTGTATTACGTTACTAAAAACAAATGCAGTAACCAATGTTAGGTAAATGTGTGTTTATTTACAAAAACAGTCAGGGTTTAGTCCCTAAAATGTTGAGCTATTTTGTTTTGCCACTGTTTAAGCAACGTGCACAGAAACCACCCCGCGGTTAATAGCTCTGCATCTGCACTCGAGACTCTGTTAATGGAAAGAAGCACTTTAGCCGAGAATCGGGTTGTTTTTTTAGAACAGAAAGGATGCTGTGCATGTGAGGGACTGAGAGATAACAATCCAAACAACAAGAGAGAGAGAGAGAGAGCGAGAGAGAGAGAGATATTGAACCAACATCACTTTGTAACTTTAAATCAATGCAGTTAGCATTCAACAGTCACTTAGCATTGTTTCAATGGTTGCTTGTTATCTGGGTACGCTCAGATTATGCATGTTATGTTCATTCAAAATTAAAGCATGCATTTACCTTAAAGTGTACAGTATACGCCCGTCGTTCCATATCCGAAGCATGCGATTAGGTGTGGTGATCCAGTGGGCATCTGCTTTCTTAGAGTTGCGGAAAAACGTGTCAGGGATCCAGATTTTTCCCACCATGTTGCTGTTGAGACGCAGAACCTTCATGCTGCTGTTGAACTTCAGCCGCCTGTCATACCACGTCTGGGCGAAGAAGATGTCAATCGTGTACTCCTGAGGAATCGAAAGGGGCAGACCATTCAGACAAAACCAATGCTTGAGTGCATACCCCTGTGTCCCAATTAGAATATTACACGAATTCCACTTTGTTTGGCCTTTTTGGCCATTTTAGAACAGAAGGAAACGGGACAAGCCAGACGCAAACATGTGCACTATTGGCTATTCTAAACAAGTTCGGCGCAACTGAATCAATACATAAACACTGATTTAATGCATGTTGAAGCTAAATCCTGGTGCAAATTCAAACAATCACTGGAGACTGGAGACAACTCTAGGATAACTCTTGTTATATGCTTCATACGGTTTCACGTTTAGGGACTGTCACAGCCCATGCAAACTCCTTTTCTTACAGATGCATACTATACAGATATAAATGTAGCCATTTATAAATGTAACAGTCCACATCTCCAATTAATTTCATAGCAACAGGCCAAACAGCGTTTCATCATCAACTAAAATTATTGATACATATTTCATTATATGCTGTAAGTAGCGCAATTACATTCATTGAAATATGTTTTTTTTGTAATATATATTATATTTGTTATCGGACTTCACATATACCTTTTATTTATTCTAAGAACATTAAATGTAATGAGATCATAATAATGAATCCTTTACATTTACAGAGAACATAAATGAGAGCAACATGTTAAAATGTTCCGAAGACTGAATGTGTTTCGGCTGACACTTATTTTGTGTTTTGTTTCTATTTATTATATAATAATATAATTTGTAATTTTACCCTGTCCTGCTGCTTTCAAACTGTGTTCCTTCTGTGTAATGTTAAAAGTGCTGTTTATAACATTTATATGTTTTGGCACACAATGTAAAGCATAGAGCTATACATTTTAATGTTCTTTAATAAATTAGCCCTGGGTGTAATTTTAGTTAGGTATTTTAGTTGCTTGATATCTCTTGTGTGTGTAGCCATATGTTTCAGTTCATCTTTGTCGGTTATTATCTTTGCTAATTTGCTTAGTTGTTACATTTGTAATTGGTTTGTTGTTATTTTCTTAAATAAGATTATATGCAAAATGCAACACGCGATTCATCAATACAAATCACTATAGAACCTAAGCATTAAAAAACATCCAAAATAAACACAAAATAACAGTTACAGTAACTAGTAAATTATTTGGTTTAACTCTTTAGGTTTACTAATCAGTCTATCTTAACATGCTGCGTCACTAAAATAGAACATACTAAAATACACATCAAATGTCAGACAATCATAAATAAAATGTATTGTGGAAACACTGCTCGGCAAAACCAAACTGAAGCACACTGAAGGTACCTGACAGATTAAAACATAATGTTGCATTTTGTAATATCACTCTGATATACAGTATATTTAAGAATTTCAGCTTCACAGCTGTCAGTTTATAATGCTGATATTAACATTTGTGTATAAAAGCATGCTAATGATAATGCAATATAAAGTAAAAAGTATTTCCTGTTGGACACACAAATCTTTTGGTGAAAGAAAGAAACATGATATACTTTGATATTCATAAAAGCATGTGTTAGAGCATTTCTCTTACCATGTTGATGGCATTAACTGGACCAATGCTGTTGACAAACATGTCAGTGTGGATCACCGTTGGTTTGACTGTAGAGAGAAACAATTAGTTTAGTTAGCTAAGTTAAGTTAAGGTGATGACAATAGAGTAAGGTTCACTTGAACATTTTATCTTTTGTTAAAGTAAATGACAATGTCCTGCAATTATATACTGACTTCAACAGATATTCAATAAATTATCTCTATTTGTGATCCGCAGAAGAGGTAGGTGGAATTTTATAATATAACACCGCTTAAAATATTATGGCACTAAAACGCTGCCATATTTACTATATTATTTAATGCAAACACACTCTTAGCACAGCGGCCCAAAACGCAAAAAGACAGAAAAAAACACTGATTTTAGTTGTAATTAATTTAATTGAATTCTCCTGGCATTTCTTTCTGCAAATTCATCCACAATGTCTTTGGTGTTTAATTTAAGGCTTCGTGTATTCTCAATGGAAAGAATGTCTTCTCCAGATGTTCACTGATGGACTGGAGTGCTGTGGATTATTGTGATGTTTTTATCAGCTGTTTGGACTCTCATTCTGACGGCACCCATTCACTGCAGAGCATCCATTGCTGAGACACTGATGCAATGCTACATTTCTACAAACCTGATGAAGAAACACACTCATCCTGATCACGGATGATCTGAGGGTGAGTACATTTTTTGCAAAAAAATATTTTTGGGTGAAGTGTTCCATTAGTTCATTCCTAAATAAATAAATAAATAAATAATAAGCAAGCTACTTGCTCACACACAGCTGTTTCTCACTAAATGGAGCGAGATATTTAGCAGTATTTAGGCATCGCTTCGTCATAAACAAGCAGTCACCAGCATTTAGCATCACAGCACAGTTTTCATTCACAGTTTTCACAACAAATTCACACAACTAAAACTACCTTTGGTTCCCTGGTTGGAGCGAGATTTTAATGACAAGGGCTGAAAAATAAAATAAAATAAAATAAACATATAAAAGTACAGTCACATTTCTCAAATGATCTTCTTTTATGTTCCACAGTTTATTTCTTTCTAAAGCTACTTTTATAAAGTTTATTTGATGCTTTTTGTAATTTTTTTTCTTTTTCTTTAAAATTTTTTTTTTTTATACAATATTTGCTTTAAATTAGCATCTGGGAGTAATTTCTCAACCATATTTGATGTGTGATTAATTTAATTAGATTAATTGCCACATTGTGTAATTAATTAGATAAACATTTTGAATCTTTTTCTTTTCTTTTTTTGCTATTTGTCCTGAGTGCGTGAGACTGAGCTTGAAAGTGTGCGTCATACACCAAATCACGGCAATCATTCTCTAGTTTTGATTCGGAAATTAATTAGTTCAACACCTGGGTGATTTACAAAAACAAGGAAAATAATTAATACGTCTTGGGGAACAAACTGTTAAATCAAAATCCATTTGGCTCAAAAATCCATGGGGTCACATGGCCCTGTGTTAAACGATGTTGTGCAAAGAGCCGGAGATCAGGAGTTTGTGTAATCAGATCTCATCTAAAATCTTTGGCAAAGGTTTTAACCTTAAAATTATATGACACCAAACAATGATTCTTTATAAATGAAACATGAATTTTATTGGCTATTCTAGATTACATTAAAACTAGGCTAAAACACACACATACACACACACACACACACACACACACACCTCATCTAAAATCTTTGGCAAAGGTTTTAACCTTAAAATTATATGACACCAAACAATGATTCTTTATAAATGAAACATGAATTTTATTGGCTATTCTAGATTACATTAAAACTAGGCTAAAACACACACACACACACACACACACACACACACATATACAGCTCAGAAAATTGAAGGAATGAGTTAACGGAGTTGCATGTAGTTTTCAAAGTTCTAACACTCGTTTCCACGAGTGGTTTTAAAATCACCTGAGAGAATTCACAAAGCAGAGGTTTGTCTTAAGTTTACTGCTTAACGCAATTCACTGTTGTATGCATGGGCAGCAAAACGGACAAAATAGTTTGGTGTGTTATTAAATCAGAATGTAACGAGGTTCAGAATTCTTGGAGATTAAACATGTATTTGAGCCAATTGTTAAACAAAACAACACATGCGGAGAACCGTCTTCAGTAGCTCAGATCTGAATGTAAAAAAAGAAACTGAACCTACCTCCGATGTCTGGCCGCAGCTTGTTATCGTAGCCGTCTAGTAAGCTGTTCAAAATATGTGTGACGTCGCTCTCGTACACTTTGGGGGTCAGAACCCACGTTTTGTTCGCCACTTCATCATCATCACTTTCCAGCTGGACAGAGCTAATGGGCAAACAAAAACACAACGACACGAATAAAGGTGAATCAATGTTGCTAATCTGTCACACTGAACTCTTTTACATGTCCTGGTTTCAACAAAAATGCGCTTTTATTTCTGTAGTCTCTAGAATGTAAGCTAAGATCATGTTTTGTCCATATGATCTGGTTCTGCTACTCTATGATCTTGTTAACAAGCCATCAAGCGAGTATACTGGAAACCTTTATTTCTATCTGAAAGCAGACACATTTTGCTGAAATGTGACCATGGACCACAAAACCAGTCATAAGGGTCAATTTTTTTGAAATTGGGATTTATGCATCATCTGAAAGCTGCATAAATAAGCTTTCCATTGATGTATGGTTTGTTAGGATCGGACAATATTTGGAAATCTGGAATCTGAGGGTGCAAAAAAATCTAAATATTGAGAAAATCACCTTTAAAGTTGTTCAAATGAAGTTCTTAGCAATGCATATTACTAATCAAACATTAAGGTTCGATATATTTACAGTAGGAAATTTACAAAATATCTTCATGGAACATGATCTTTACTTAATATCCTAATGATTTTTGGCATAAAAGAGAAATGTATAATTGTGACCCATACAATGTATTGTTGGCTATTGCTACAAATATCCCCCAGCGACTTAACACTGCTTTTGTGCTGCAGGGACACACATGTCTTCCAAAGAGTCACTAATGAATTTTTTCTCTATATCCCATAAATTGAGAAAGAAAATACAAAAATGCTTAGGTTAATGTATATAAACCAAAAGTAGTAACATATTAACCATTGGCGGAGTTTTCTGTGTTTCCACTGGTGTATGGTAGGAGGCGCTATTACACATCTTCAGAAAGAGTACTGAATTGTTGGCTCAAAACACAGCAAAGAAGCAGCAGAAATCAGAAGCATATGCAAAATATTGTGACCATCAAACATTAAACAGCATATAAATCAAAACCGCCTAACGCTACTGAATGAAATGTTGACGCATGAAGTGGTTTAGGACGGTGAAGCTTTGGATGTGTTGATGAAGTGATCGACACCATCGCTCAGACATAGTCTTTAACAAAAACACCATTTTCTCAGCTTTTCGTTCAATACACTCTTAAAAATAAAGGTGCTTCAAAAGGTTCTTCAAGCGATGCCATAGAAGAACCATTTTTGGTTCCACAAAGAAGCATTCAGTCAAAGGTTCTTTAAAGAACCATCCCTTTTTGTAATCTGAAGAACCTTCTTTCGCCCCAAAGAAGCTTTTGTGAAACAGAAAGGTTCTTCAGATATTAAAGGTTCTTTATGGAATCATTTAGACAAAAAGGTTCTTCTATGGCATCGTGAAGCACCTTTATTTTAAGAGTGTATGTTGCTTCTTACCCACATTCTAGTGTTGATTAAAAAGATTGCATGAAGCTAGAATAAAACTGTTTTTTGTTGTTGTTGTTTAAAAGCAGAGGCTCTGTTCTTTCTTTTGACATATTGCACGTTCAGATAATCATACAACAAAGCATTCTGCAGGCCATGAAAATTTTGTGAAAATGATCAAAAATGTTGGTGGTGGTTGGCAACTGGGAAAGAGTTAACTAATTAACTACAGTAATTATTTCAAGAAGACTTGACTGATCTCTGGATCTTTTGCATAGAACACATGGAGATGTTAACAATGTTTATCAAAACAGAGAAATCAATTAGATAGAAATGCAAGGTATATAAAATAGCAATTAAAAATGATAAAAGCCCAGGATGGAAGCAGATTGAAGATGCACATGTTTTATTACTCTGCTGAACTGAAAATGGCTGCTGTGCTTTCCATAATTGGACATGTGACCATGGCAACAAATAAAGTTTTTTAAAAGGTCATTTAACTAGAACCTTAAAAAAGGGTGCCATCTAGAGGAGGACAAAGATAACGTTCAGTCTTTGCAGAGTGTAGGTGTGCTGGTGGAGGCTGGTGACAGACAGACGTACAATAATAATGTTGCATTAGAGGTGGAAATGTGCTCTCGCTCCGTCTTTCTCGCTGGCAGCGCTCCCAGAATCAGATTGTGAGGGGAAGCTGCGACAAACGCAAGCCTCTGTTTTGCATCTACAACATTATCTCATGTGTTCTGTGCAAACAGGCTATAAATCATTTTAATCACATGCTAATGTGCTTCATAAACTACCTGCTTGGGTTAATAGTAGAGTTTATGTTTGCATAGCAGTGCACAGCTGCTATCTATCTATCTATCTATCTATCTATCTATCTATCTATCTATCTATCTATCTATCTATCTATCTATCTATCTATCTATCTATCTATCTATCTATCGTCTGTCTGCCTGCCTGCCTGCCTGCCTGTCTATCTGTCTGTCTGTCTGTCTGTCTGTCTGTCTGTCTGTCTGTCTGTCTATCTATCTATCTATCATTTATCTGTCTGTCTGTCTATCTATCTATTTATCTATCTATCATTTATTTGTCTGTCTATCGTCTGTCTGTCTGTCTGTCTATCTGTCTGTCTGTCTATCTATCATCTGTCTGTCTATCTTTCATCTGTCTGTCAGTCTGTCTGTCTGTCTGTCTGTCTGTCTGTCTGTCTGTCTATCTATCTATCTATCTATCTATCTATCTATCTATCTATCATTTATCTGTCTGTCTGTCTATCTATCATCTGTCTGTCTATCTTTCATCTGTCTGTCTGTCGGTCTGTCTCTCTGTCTATCTATCTATCTATCTTGTCCTATGCAATTGACTAAAATCTTAAAGTATATCAGAGGCAGAGAGAAGCAATCATTCGCAAATGAATGCTGAGGACCTTGGCAAAGCAATCAGACAACAATGGATGGTGTGAGGCAGTAACCATGGAGTCTGTAGAAGACAGAAAAGCATAGCCTTGAGAGAAACATGTGACTGAGAGCTGTGCTGCTCTGGCAACTTCAGAAACATTTCAGAAAGTCGAGACTGTAACACTTTCAAGGCATTTCATTGTACATTAATATGGGGAGAACACACGGCATCATGACAGACTTTTCAGCAACACATGAAACCTTCCTGCTGGACTCCTTTTAAGCAGTTAGCAAAAATTAATACTTTAAGCATCCCAGAACAATTGAGATAAATTGAACATCAATTAGACCTGTTGCAATGATTACATTATTGCAACAACAACAACAACAAAAAAAATCATGATAATTGTGCAATTTACATTGCATCGCATGTGATGGACTGGCCATCTCTGGTCCGAGATGCTAGGATAGACTCCAGCATCTCTGCAACCCTACAGAGGAAAAGCGATGGACACTGCATTCCAAATAAATGATTTTGTAAGTGAATACTAGAAATGCTTTGACATTTCAGAGTTATTTTGAACACAAAGCACTACAGGTTTATTTGACTGTCACCGCTGTATAATTCCAAAACATTTTGATCTATATGTTACCATGCAAAGATAATGCAACAAAACAGGCAACACGCCACAGAAAAGAAGCGATTTATCCTTAAAACAGAATGATATAAAAGATAATGGTAACACTTCACAATAAGGTTCCATTAGTTAATGTATTAACCAACATGAACAAACAATGAACAGTACATTTATTACAGTATTTATTAATCTTTGTTAATGTTAGTTAATGAAAATACAGTTGTTCATGTCAACAAGCACAACTTTGATTTTAATAATGCATTAGTAAATGTTGAAATGAACATTAACTAAGATTAATAAATGCTGTGTTCATTCTTAGTTCATGTTTACTAAAGTAGTTAACTAATGAACCTTATTGTAAATTGTTACCAATATAATATATACAATAATGGGTAACACTTTATTTTAAGGTGTCCTTGTTACACATGTTACATGTACTTACTATTATAATAACAATTAATTATGCAAAATTACATGCAAGTAAGCCAAACCCAAATCCTAACCCTATAGTAAGTGCATGTAGTTAATTATTATTACTCAGTATTTACATGTATAATTACACTGTAACAAGGACACCTTAAAATAAAGTGTAACCCAATAATGTATACGTATGTAATTACATTATTATTACAATTACATTATTGTATACAGTATATAAAATAATGCAATCTATATTCAAAACTATGATGACTACAGAAAGTCTTCATTCAGGTAAAATGAAATCTTGTGAGTTTAATCGGACCACCTTAAAAAAGAAATTGCGAGAGAACTCTGCCTTTTAATTCAAATGAAATAGATTAAGCCAATGATTGATCACAACAACAATCATATCATAACAATTAATTACCCACAATTAATGTCATAATAGTGACAGCCCTGATATCAGTGAAGTTAATATATTTCACTCAATATGCTGCAAATAAAAGCCATAAATATAGCCTCAGGTGATTATCAAGGGGCCACGGATAAATGACTCAAGTAGACGTGAATGAAAAATCTTTATAGAAGTATTATATTATGTATTATAGCAGAAGATGCAAAACAGTTAGTTTTGCTGCTTGATATCGCACACCAGTGTTTCTTACCATATTATTTGAATGTATTATCTTAATTATAAACAGTGGTTTGTAGCGTAACAGTTTTACCGTTTGCTGCACTTTCTTATTCTTCTCGTTATTTCCCTACAGCGGCTAATGAACCGGAGGTCTCGCACATTCACAGAAAACTGCTTACTTATGCGTTGAAAAATAAGGTGGATACGTTTATTTTTAAATAAAATAGTTTTCAATATCATTAGGACAAAAAATGATTTAACATTTAATGATCTATAAGCATTTTAGACATCACAGATTTCTTTGTAAACTGATCTCTCTCTCTCTCTCTATATATATATCCTCTTAAGACCCGAGAAAAGATTTTTAGGAAAAAAATAGTTTTTTTTCATGTCTTTACATTGTTTAGAGAATAAAAAATAAAAAAAAGATATTTCGTTCATAAGTTATGATATGTCCTTTTTAAAAAATAAAAAGACATGAATGAACATGCATAGGCAAAAACAATAGATTTTTTAAATCACCAATACATTTTTAGTTTTCAGGATTTTT